CAGGAGGTCTAAAATGAAACTTACATACATCTGGTATCCAAATATTAGTGATGAATCACCTGATATTCCCCTGACTCAACAACTTCTTAAACTCTTCATCAGTGCTCTTGAGCATGAGACCCAGAGGCAAATAGATCCCACTTTTCATGACCTCAAGGTGCCTAGGCTTTATCCTTTTCTCCAAACTAAAAGCAAAGAACTGAGGGAACTCCTTCAACTCCTCCAAGTTCCCTTTCATCTCCTCACTAAAATATTGAAACTTTGGCTTGAAGTTATTCTCAATACTATAAGTGAACAATGCTGGACACCTCCACACCATACCCTTGGCCTCAGCACCTAAAAACCCAATGCTCTCCAAGAACTTCAATTTGGGTATCAAAGTATGCTCTACATTGGAAACCAACAACACGGTGTCTTGATAAGCCAGAGCATCAAGATCTTTAATCCCTAGTCTTTGAAGATAGAACAAAGCAGGTTTGAGTTGGTCTCTCACACTAGAAGTAAGCAATCTGGGACACTTGTTGATGACCTTTCTGAAGTTGTTTTCTGGGACTTTGAGGTCAATAGAGAGGAAATTGAAAACTGGGACAAGGTCTGTTTTGATGTTGGCAGTGAGGATTTGGGGACACATGCCAAGGATTTTAGGTAAGTCCTTTTGTTGAATGCCTTTGGATTGGAGGAAGGAAATTATGGAGTGGATGGTGTGAAGGGTGGCCGTGTGGAGGGAGGGATTGAGAGACAGTGCCTTCCCTGAATCGACACCCATGATCTCAAGGCAGATGATTTTCTCTTTGAATTCGAAGGAGAGATTTCCATGGGTGGAGGAGTAAAGAGGGTGCTTATGGAGGAGGCTTCTGGGTTTTGGGGCTAGGAGGGTATTCGGCTGCTGGGAATTTGTTGGAGAAGAAGATGGCTTCTGAGATTTGATGCAGAGGGAAGTGTGCAATGCCGCTGCTGCAGACATGGATATCGACCTGAAGGAAAGGAAGCCAGAAAAGGGGACTTTCTCAGAAGGAAAAACATCCTATTGGCTTAACATCAAAATAATAGGTCGACGGCACGTGGCAGTGTGCTTGAAAATGATTGGCCAATGTCCTGGATAGGATTACTTTCAGATTAGGTTAAATTCCAATTTTGGTCCCTCAACTTAGGGTTTTGCATAATTTTCATCTCTTAACTTTTTTTGTATTTTTTTAATCCCTTAACTATGAAAAATACACTTTTTAGTCATTCAATCAATTAATCCATTAAATCTATCTAAATTTGCACATTTTTAATCTTTTAATTTCTAATATATGCATATTTTTAAATGTACAAATTTAGATAAATTTAACAAATTAACTGACAGAAAACTAAAAAAATACATTTTTCATAATTAAGGGATAAAAAAATACAAAAAAAAAATTGAAAGATAAAAATTATGTAAAACCTTAAAGTTTAAAAATCAAAATTAACATTTAACTTTCAGATTATTTGATCGAATCTTTTTAGCAAGAAATTTTAATGGTTGATTCTGAAGGGTTATACCTCACGTTCTTCCCCTCGCTTTTCGCTATAGTACTTCAAGTTACAACGATGATTTTTTGATAATATCCATTGACAACAAAATTTTTTAACTTGGTGGGTAATTTTCTTTGTTTTATTCAATCGAACAAGGTGCGTGACTCGGTAAACATCCATTTGTTTGCTGATATCACGTGCTTATTGCGAGGATTTGTTGTCAATGAATCACTAGAGTAAAAGATATGATTCTTGTCCTTTCGGCCTAAGGTACTCACGTTAAACCAGAGGGCTCTTTAAAAAAAGAGGAAAATGGAAGAATTATTGGGTCTAAGAATTTGTCTCTCAAATTCAGGATCAATGAATTTGCAGACATGAAAGAAGACAGGAGTGGAGAGAACTGCAAAAACAGCTATTGTAAAAGAAATTGAAACAATGCATTATTTGCTTTATTATCCATTGGCCCTGGCATCATGGTTTCCAATCTATAATTAGATTAGCTAAATACTAACTTCTTCACCGATCAAGAAAAGCCACTCGGTACGAATTGAGAGTACCAAATTAAGAATTATCATCCTTGGTGCATTAGTTCTTAACTACAACATCACTGTCACATCACTGATTGCTTGAATAAAGACTAATCTTCGTTTTTTTTGAAAAAAAAAAAAAGAAAAGAAAAACCTCTCTTTAAGAGAGTACAGTATAAACAGTTGTGTAA